GCGAACTCTGGTTGAGCTCTGCGTTGTTGTTTTGGATCAAGTTGGCGATCGCGGTCCGGTCATCCATCGACGGCAGCGTGTACAAGCTGGCGCGGAACGCGTCGCAGATCTTGCGGAGCTTCGTCTCGATAAACTGCGACTGGAAAAAAATCACAAACGCGTGCTTCTCGACCGCGACGCCGGTGCCCGGGTCGACGAGCAGCTCGTCAATGGCTGAGAAGCGCGTGAAGCAGTTGCCGCGCGTCGCACGGAACACCATGCGCTCAAACTTGATGCGCTCATTCGCCGATACGACGCCCGTGATGTTCTTGAAGCGAATGGCCAAGTCCGTCTCGGACGCTTCGATCGGCGAGTCAACGTCAAAGCTCACGCTGTTGCTCGCGTCCGGGATCTCAACCTCAAAGAACTCGCCGACACGCGAGATGATCTCCTGAAGCTCCTTGCGCTCGTCGTACTCGCGCGTGAGCTTCTCGTGCATCGAGTTGAGCTGGACGAGCTCGTGCTCCTTGTCTTCGAGGATGCGCTCGAGCTCATCGAGGTCTTGGCTGCCGTAGCGCACGTCCACCGAGTCAGCGAGGAACGAGTCGGCGCTGCCGGCGCTCTTGGCCGTGATCTTGAACTTGGTCATCTCGCCCTCGAAGAAGCGAAGCTTGCAGTCCATCTCGTCGCAGCGCTTGACGAACGAGACGTACCGACGGTGAAATGGCGTGAGCTCCGGGTTGAGGTCCGTGAACTCGACAACACCGAGGCCCCCAAGCATCGTGACGCAGTCATGGGCCGCGTCTTCGTGGATGATCAGCGATACATACTCCATCGCTTCCGAGCGTAGCCACTTCATATTTCAGATATGTCAGCTGACGTGGCAAAGGCAAAATGCAGGGTTGCCTTTGTCGTTTGGCGCTTGATTACAACCATGAGGTGGCTGTAAACCGTGAAGACCCTAATACTAGGCGCATGATCCTAATTTCGAGCCTCGTCAACTGAATAAGGTTTTCCCGCCGTCGCATGGTTGTATTGACTCGAGTGGAACCTTGCCCGTTCAACGCATCGTGCCAAAGATTCTGCGTTAAACACACTGCAGGCTCGAGGAAGCTGCAAAATGGCTTGCCGCACACAACTTCCAAGAGTTTAAACGCCCTTGGTGCCCTTTGGAGCCATCGCGATCTTCGACCATTTGCAAAAACGAAGTGGAGATGGGCAACGAGGCGAGCACGGTCCATGCCGACGGCGCAGCGACGGACCTCCCAGCGAGCCATCGCGCCATGAACATCCTCAAGATGATCGAGTTTTCCAAGGACCCGCGGGCGGGCATGCTCGAGTCGCGCGACCAATTCGGCGACCTCTTTCTCCTCGAGAGCCATCTCGTGAGCGAGAAGATCGCCGGATTCTGCGGCCCCGAGCTCCTCGCGGCCTTTGACGACAAGCTGCGAGACGGCAGCATTGTGCGCGAAGGGGCGTTTCCACCCGGCGTTCTCGCGCTCCTTGGGCCTATCATGTCGACGATTGACGGCGAGGAGCACGACGCGCGCAAAGCCGCTGCTCTCGAGGCTCTTACGCCCGCTCGGCTCGATCTCTACGCACCAATCATCCGCGAGATCGTTGAAGCCGAACATGCATCGTGGGCAGCGCGAGGCGGTGCCATCTCGCTTGCTTGCCTTACGCGCGACATGGTCTTTCGCATTTTCCTCAAAGTGCTCTATGGCGTCGAGCGGCATGACGGGAACAAGTTTCGCGTCCTACTCGACGATTTCATCGTCTCAATTCGCCGATCAAGTAAGCACGCAGACCCTCACGGCGTGCGCTGCCGGACGCAGATCCTCGACGAGCTCATCCGACCGGCGATCGCCAACGCCCAGGCCCGCGCTTCCAACAAGACGCCAGTGCCAAGCGTCATCGACTGCCTCGTAGCCAACGGCAAGATGACGCCCGACGTGCTAGAGACGGAAGCCTTTCATTTCCTCTTTGCCGGCTTTGGTGGCGTCGCGTGCCTTGCGACCAACATTCTCACCGCCGTCGCCACCCACCCAAGCGCTCGGAAGGACCTTCTCGATGCGCGGGCCGAGTACGTCACCAAGTACGACGGTGATGCGCGCTGGGCGCATTTTCACGACCTTGGTTACGTCAACTTGTTCATTCTCGAAGTCAAGCGCTTCTACGTCGCGGGACCGACTGCCGTCTTTGGCCGCACAAAGACAGACCTCGAGATTCCAACCAAAAATGGGGTATACAAGCTGCCGAAAGGGTGCCTCGCGGCGGCGGGTCTTGAAGCTACGAACCGTCACCCAGACGTCTGGACGGACCCTAACCTCTTTAATCCCAACCGGTTTCGAGACCTTGGGCACGTCCGCACCACCAAGCCGCACGCGTTTTGCCCACATGCGTTTGGCGAGTCGTCGCACCGTCGCTGCGCCGGCGAAGACCTCACGACGCTCATTCTGCAGTCAACAGTCGTATCGCTGTACGACTTTGTATGGCAAATGGTGCCCAACCAAGACTACAAGCTCGCGGTCGGATCCTCGACACCGACACCCGTGGGCCAACTCATGGCGGTGGGGTTTCACCGACGCACTGACGATGCTGTCGAGATCATTGGGACTGTGGGCTCCAAAGCCGACTGGAAGTTTCTCAACCTCCCCGAGGCCAAAGAGCTCGTGGGCACGGCCATGGACCTCTACGACGACGCACGACTCGATCTCTGGACGCGCCTCATGATCAAGCTCATCGGAAAAAAACAGGCCGTGTGGGATCGCCCGTACGCCAATCAGATTCTGCGCATCCCGCAGCACCAGAAGCCGCTCCCTAAAATCACCTTGATCCAGACCAACATCGACATCGCGACCGAAGACGAAGACTGGCCCAACCAGCCGTGGCTCGAGATCCAGCAGTCCAACTTCCTCCGTGACCACGCCCCGTTCGTCGACAACTTTGAGCACACGTGGCTGCCTGGCGAGGACATGGAGCGCTACGTCATGAGCAAGGTCGGCAGCATGTGGCCGCGCGTCAACGTTCACTGGAACGACCGCTACTCGGACCGCGCGCTCGAGCTCTTGGCTTTCAATGGTTTTGGCCAGCACCTTCTCACGAAGCTCCCGGAAGCTCACGACGATGGCTCGTACTACGGCATCTGCCTCAACTTCATGAAAAGCCTCGAGGTGCGCCCTGGCTACGCCAAGTATGGCGCGGACGCATTCTTCACCTCTAAAGGTAAAGTCACCAAGATCATCCGCGGCGACATCGCTAGCCGCCCTGGTGACTCGGGGTGGGAGTATGCCAAGCTTTGTTTCCGCGGCAGCCTCCAGACCAAGGTCACAGCCGTCGACCATCTTCTTGGAATCCACGCCACGGTGGCCAACATCATGGTCGTCGCTAACCGTGAGCAGCTGCCACCAACGCACCCGCTCCGCCGCTTGATCAAGCCCTTCACGTTCCGCTCTGTGGCCATCAATTACGGCGCAGGTCGGGCACTCTTTTGGCCCAAGGGCATGCTCCAGCGCGCCTACGCGCTCACCGACAAGGGCATGAAGCAGACGTGGGACATCGGCCTCGCCAACTTCAAGTACGAGACGTTCCCAGAACACAAGATGCGCCAGCACATCGACACAACGACGCTGCCGTTCCATGAGGACGGTATGGACTACTGGCATATCTGCCGGTCGTTCGTCA